ATGTATACATTAAAATATACATGAAGTTAAACGATTTCGTTGTCTACGATAAACACTGAACATTGAAAGCGGAAAGTGACTCGAGACTTGACGTCGTGATCATATTGAAACTGGTTAAGAATCAATTATCAAATTCTCCCCGGCCAACTTTTAATTTCCTCAAAGTCACCCTTCAACTTTTCAAGAAACTTTCAAACGAGCTTAAAATTCTGAAAGCGTTGAAACAACGTTCGATTGAAATAAAAAGTGCCGCGAGACTTTTAACGGGCAGTGTCTTTACCGTTAACAAACTCGATAAACTTTTCACTCGTTACGAATAATATCAAGGGTGTATCTGCAAGTAATGTCATTTTTTTTTTTCAAATTTAATAAACCATCTAGTGACATCTAGTGCCATTAATTTAAAAAAAGTAATTTGAACATTGTTTGAAGGTATCCCTATTACTTAGTAACCAAAAGTAAACTATCGCGAACAAGTAGAAACAAAAATCCATTTACCAAAAATCTCTGTTCACGATAGCGTTGTGTGAACGAGAAATTTCGAAAACGATAGTAACTGCAATTATACACGAATCGTTTTCCTCGGGCAAACAAAATTCCACAAGCGCACATTCGCGCGTTACAAGCGCGTAAACACACGTTTACGTGTCAGACGAAGCTCGCATTTTTTCCAAAAAAAAAAAAGAAAAAAAAAACCAATCGAATCGTGAAACTTTTAACGCGGCGTTCTCCCGGAGAGAACGTACCCTAATCTCGGTAACCCTATTATCGACCCGTTTGTTTCACCGCGGAACGAGGCGAGAGAGCTGACTTTCCCGAAAGTTCCCCGAACGTCGGAGCAGCGGCGATCGATGCTGTTTCGAGCCCCGTTTCTAACCGTCTTGGCCAAAAAAAAAAAAAAAAACGAACGAAGGAAGGAAATGGCCGAAAATGGAAGAAAGAGACAAAGAAAGAAAGAAAGACAGATAGAAAGAGAGAGGGAGAGTTGAGAGAAGAAAGGGTGGCCGAGGGTGGAAAGTGGAGCACCGAAAAGCTATTTCCGGTCGAGGAGGTCCGTATCGAGACCGCGAGGGGTGGGGGGAGGGGGGGGGGGGAACGAAATGACCGACTTAAGGAAGTTTTACTGCGAGACAAACCGGAAGTGATTCGGCTACGACCGAAACACTTCCCTCCTCCTCCTCCTCCTCCTCCTGCTCAGCCTCTCACCCCTCGTCGGTCTTCACCGGAGACGGGGCAGAAGAAAGTTTACCCCTTTGCAAGTTGCACACGAAGGCTTCCGCCGGTTCGTTCCTTTTCGGCCGGGATTACGGGCCTCGGACGAACATCCATTCTCGTTTAACGCCTTTATTTACCGTCCGTTGCTTTTCCCTTTCGAATCCTCCCCCCCCCCCTCCCAGCGCCATCGTTCTCTTCGTTTCTTTTCCATCTTCACTACCCTCCCAGCCCCGTTGTGTGTACTTCCCTTTGGCCGTTCTTAGCTTTGCGTCGCCTCTTCCTCCCTCTGTCTTCTGGTTTCTTCGTTGACACTCGATTATTGCGGTTGAAGAGCAATCGCTTTCTCTCCCCCCTTTTCTTCTTCTTTCTCGTCGGCCTTCCTCTCTTAACTTCCGCTCACCTTCCGTTCTCATTTTCGCTGTTTGTTCGCCGGGCTGTTTAATTATCTGAACGAAGCTCACTCTGTCTCTTTCTCTCTCTCTCCCTTCCGACGAATTGATTCGATTTTTAGTTTGTTAACGGGATTGTACATCGTACATTGGTTCGAACTTGCAGTGTCTTGTCTTATCTCGTGATAATTCTTTTGGCTCTCGGAGAATATTGTTTGTCGTTATTATCGTTGTCCCGTGATTATTTTTTTGCGTCGTTGAAGTCTCTCCCTGTTGACCAGTTTCAGTTGAGTTTTTCCAATGAAAAAATAATAACGTATTTTTCAACACGTGTAATTCGTAACTCTATACTAATTGTAGGTAGAAATAATTGTAAGTAGAATAATCCTATTTTTCAACGCGTGTAACTCTATACTAATTGTAAGTAGAAAAGTTGCAAGGTGCTGAAATCCTGATTATCGAGTCGTTTGCGAGTCAAAGTTGCTCGCAATGAATTCATGTACGTCAGACTTACGCGTTTGTATATCGAAATATGTTCCCGAGGGAATTAATATCACCGGCACTTACAATTTTCGTTGCCCTATTCTCTTGTAAATTTCACTTTGACACACGCGCACCCACGATCGAACATATTTCCACTAATTGCACAAATAACTCAATTATAATGTATCGGCATATCGATCACGCCGGAGAATTATTCATTTATTATAATTACTACCAGCTATGCGTCCCTGGATTGAAAAAAAATCAGGCTGACCGATATGATTGAAACAACAGTTTCCAACGAGTCAAAAATCATCGATTCCCGCCATTTGTCACATGTACGAATCCAATTTAGGATTTCAAATTTTTAAATTAAAGATTGCGAGTGTTTCACTGAATTAAAGAATTAAAAAATCCGTGTTCTTGATAGACGTGCATGCGTCTTTTTATATATCATTATTTATTATTATTGCGTCACATTACAATGTCATTATAATAATATGTATTTTATTATTATAATACTTGTGCAACGTTAATTTAACATTTACATATTATTATTCAATATTTATATATCATTATTTATTATTATTATTATGTCCCATTACGTGTTCTCATTATAACAGCATGCATTACATTATTATCATATTTTGTCTTTCCATCGTGCGTGGTTTATCAACGTTGCGTGATAAAATATTGCAAAATTTCAACGAAACGGAGCTACGTTGCTCAAATGATCCGCAGATCCACTCAAGTTCAACTTAAGAAAAATTTACTAGATTTCGATTGGTTTCGGATTGACGTACAGGGTAACTGTGAACGCGGGTTAACGTATTCTGTCGCGTTTCGCGTAATTTCGTCGCGAATCTCGCGAAAACTTTCCCGATTTCGGAGGCATTGACTATCGGAAGTGGAAAACGTTTCCAGGCCGAGGGTAAAATCCGCCGAACGCGATCCAGAAGGGGGCGAGAGGGGGATGGAACAGCACCGCCGAGCCAGGATTGCACCCGGAGGAGCTCGTACGTTATTCGCCGTGCGCGCTGCTACTCTGTATAACGGGTGAACGCGAGTAATCCAGCCCTTTTGCGCGGCTGAATTCGCTGCCATTATGTAAGAGGCTTGGAGATCGGTTTTTAGTTTCACGGAAAAAAAAAATTCCGTGAGAAAGAATTATATGCGTATCGTTGGAGATCGAGGATTTTTTTTTTTTTAGAAAGGAAGCGTAATTGTTTGTTCGTTGTTTGGAGAACGATTTTTATTTGGAAGCAAGGGAACCTCGGGTCGTTGAAAATATCTCGCTGCGCCAGTTTTTGGATTGTGAAATTAGAGATTTTCGAAAACGATGTTTTCGTTCACTCGTAATTGGAAGATCGGAGATCGATTTTCATTTTCGTGAATAAAGAGGGAAAATTGAGGAAAGAGAAGATTGTACGTTTTTAAAAACGAAGCGTAATTGTTTGGAGAACGATTTTTATTTTTATCGGTCGAGAAACTGGAGAGTTTTGACACTAGGGCCATCATTTGGAAAATTAAAGATTCTTCAAAATATTTTCATTGACTCGTAATTGGACGATCGGAGATCGATTTTTATTTTTGTGAACAAACAAATTCGAGAGCAATTTACACTGATATCTGTTTTCAAAGAATTCCGAGACTTTTAAAGATTTTTCAATTCTCGATTGAACCTGATGATGAATAGTATCACAAAAAAGTTAGAGTGAGGTTTGAATTACTCGAAAGTTTCCCAAAACTGGCAAAAAGAAACGGAATTGTTCAATCTCCGACCTTTTCGCAGTATAATTTAAATTTACATCATTTTAAGGGGACGATTCCAGCATTTCGCGCGGTAAACTTCATAGTCTTCGCAATCCACGCAACTACCAGCTAGACTATCCTCTCAACCAGACTACCCTCGCAACTTGAAACTTTAATGGAACTCGATGACACTAGAGAAAGCTTTCGTTTTTTTTTTTTTTTTTTCCTAAAGCTATCCCATTATGCGAATCGCGGCTTTTTTACCACATGCTCTCGCGGCCGGCGGCATTTTGATCGGCATTTTTTCCAACGCGGCCCCCGAAAAATCTATAAATCTAACGAGTACGCGAGCCCCGCGCGTACGTCAGGACCATTCGTCAGCGGACAGATTGCAGGGCGCAAAGGGGGTTGAAGAGCGCCTCTTCAGTGTCAGCGGTGCCACGCGCAATAAAGCCGCGAGCGATTTTTACGACGCAGGCACGAGGGGGGTAATTTACCCTCCAAGGCAGTTCACGCCGCGCTGAATACCTACAGAAATTCCTACAAAATTTTTTCACTTAAATTCAATCGCGCTGTGCGCGAATCGATCTCGAGATCTCGTGGCGAAATTTCTACTGTAACACCGATGAAATCTCCTCCTCGGTTGCCATTTGTTTTCGTCAGTAAAAAAAAAAAAAAAAAAAAAA